CCTTCCCCTCCCCACAACAGGCACCCTGTGAGGTAAGGTGGGGCTGAGAGACCTCTTTTGAGGACTGCTCTTTCAAGGACAGCTCTGACAGGGCTACGCCTTGCCCAAGGTCACCCAGCCAGGTGCAAGTGGAGGAGTGGGGAATCAAGAAGAAGAAGAGATTGGATTTATACCCCATGGCCCTTCACTTGGAGTCTCAGAGCGGCTGACAAACTCCTTTCCCTCCCCCCCCCCACCACACACCCTGTGAGGTCGGTGGGGCTGAGAGAGACCTCTGACAGAAACGGCTCTTTTTCAAGGACAGCTCTTGTCAGAACTATGGCTTGCCCAAGGTCACCCAGTCAGGTGCAAGTGGAGGCGGAGTGGGGAATCAAACCCGGTTCTCCCAGATTAGAGTCTGCGCACTTAACCACGACACCAAAATGGAAGACAGAACTGGCGCTGACCTCGGAACGGACCACGGCGACACTCTCTGGCAGGCCCTGCGTGACTCTGCCTCCACGCGCCTCTTCATTCATCTGCAGGGTGCTTCTGTGGACACTTTGGGGAGTGCTAGGCCTCTGAGCGCCATTCGTATCAGCCTATGACTTGGACAGGACGCTGGGTGGAGCTTAGAGTTGCCAGGAACCCTCCAACCCCTGCTGCCATTCAGGAGGCCGCTGGGGGGTGGGTGGGAATGCCTTTGCATCAATGGTGTGACATCATCTCCAGGGCAAACCCAGAAGTAGTGTCACGCTGTCAGCGAGCTGCCATTTCCTTGGGACCCGTCCCATCCCCCTCCCTGTCTCCCAAAGCCTTATCCTGTTCCTGTAGTGCCTCTGTAACTGCCAAGGTCTCCAGCTGGTGTGATGTGGTGTTATGTCTTGCAGCTATGGCTTGTTTAGGTTTCCCGTGTGAATTCAACCTGTGTTTATGGAATTGGCCGTTCTGTTCTCAGACCGCTTCGCGCCTTTTCTAATCTGTAAACCTGACGAGGGAAATATGTTCATTGGTTTAAACCTGGTTTGAATTTCCTTTTAATACACCTTCCCTGGGTATTGTAGTTATTCCTAACAATCTCTGTATGTTCGTGATCAACCATGCTTTGGAAATAAATCTTGCTTCTTTTGAACGTGGATCTATTCTCCTGATTTGGGATCTAACACACGCCACTCTAGGATTCAGCAGAAAGTGTCACTTCTGGGCTTGTCCCAGAAATGGTGTCATGCCATCAACATGGTGGTGCCCCTCACACACACACACACAGACACCGCTGCTCCCACCGCCCCAGTCTCCTTCCGGGTGCCAACCACTGGCTGGCAATCCTTGTGAAGCTACTCTCTCAGGGCAATGGGGAGCTGGGAGAGACGGCCACCGGAGGACGGGGAGTTTCACTAGAGGGACACCAAGTAGGGTTGCCAATCTCCAGGTGGAACCTGGGGGCTGCCTGGTATAAGAATAGGGCGAGGCAAGTCTCCAGCTGTGGTGGATGACTTCCTGGCTTAGGCTGTTCAGGGTCAGGGAGAAGTAAGGCGGGGGGGGGGGGCAGGATTTTGGCTTGCCTGAGGACAGTAGGAAGTCTCCAACACTTTTGTCATTCCACAGAATGTTGTAAAATGGAATTATCCAGAAAGACATTTTTATAAAGTGGTTTATAAAATATGGTTGCAGTCAGTGACAAGTGGAACTTAGGGTAGCATCACTGTATTATTCTAATGTGTTTCTGCGTGTAATCGAGGTTTATTACGTTGTTTATTGTATGTCATAAAGTTTCACTGCATTCTTCTCCTGCCTTGGCAACTCCTGCTTTACTGCCAGAATTACCCTATGTTTGCATGGAGTAATTGCTGGTGGCAGGTATGACCCCCAACTCAGTGTGGCCAGGCAGGGGTGGGAGGCCACTGGTGGGAGGGCTTACTGCGGGCGGGGGGGGGGGGGGGGGGGGCTTGCCAGTGATGTAATGATGTTGCCGGCAACCCCCTGACATCACTCTGTGTGCCCAGGAGTGGGGCAACGGCTGCTTAGGAGGCACAGTGCCCCGCTGAGGTCCTTCCCCCCAAACCCTGCCCTCCTTAGGCTCTGCCCCCAGGTCTTCAGGGATTTTCCAACAAAAAACCCATTGAGGTTCTGCGCTGAGTGAGGTGTCGGTAGAGTGCCCTGCTTCCCGTGGTGGTGGTGGTGACGTGTGCCTTTCTGGAAGCCCTGGATTGCTGCCTTGTCTTTCAAGACGTCACTCTCTGTTGGGAAGCTCTCAAGGCAGCGAACAGACCAGCACACACAATACGACTGCCAGATACAAACAGTAACCAGTGATGAGACCAGAAGCCTGAACGTGCCTGAACCTAGGCTAAAGCAGTAGCCCAATCTCATCCATTCTTGGAAGCCAAGCAGGGTCGGCCCTGGTTCGTACGTGGGCGGGAGACCACCGAGGAAGCCCAGGGCTGTGACCCAGAGGCAGGCAATGGGAAGACACCTCTGGACGTCAGCCGCTTTGAAAACCCCACCAGGGGTCCATAAGCCACCTGCAACTTGACAGCAACCCACCCCCCCCCAAAAAAAAAAAAGTATTAGTAATATTTAGCCAAGTGATTTCTGAATCACTTTCTGAAACACTCCTGGCATATGTTCCATTGACAGGAGGCCTCCTGTCCAGTTCCAGGCCGCATGGGAATCTTTCCACAGGAGCACCCAAGGCCTCTGCTTCAGGCCAGGGGCCTTATTCTCCGAACAACTCATGCGAGTGACTGCATTGTTAAATTGTTAAATAAAGCATTGGCAAGAAAGGTGGTTATAAAGTAAATTATGTATCTGTTTTGCAATTAATCTTCAATCTACCTAAGAGGGAGTGTTTAAAATTTGCACACACACATACCCCAAAACACCCCAGTCTTGGAACACTAGGCAGAATAGAAACCGAACAACCTATATTTCATGATGGAAAGCAATTGCTTTCATGGAAAGCATCATTGTGTGTTTCTTAAGCTTAAACTGCATGCAAGTTGGTCTTTAGGGGTCCTCTCTCTCAGCCATGAGCCATCAGTTCACCAGCATCAAGACACGGTCGTTATCAAGTCAATGGGATGAATAAGGGTGCTGTCAGACAAAGGGTTCCCCTTGGCTCGCCTTTACTCTGGGATGTCCTGAGACAGGCACTTGTCCTCCAGCGCCCTGGGAACACAACACACACCTTTGCCTCTGGCTGCAGGGTTCCTACCAGACATATCTGAGAAGAGCTGCAATTCAGGACAAACGATTTGAGGGAAAGCAGGCTGAATATTTTGTGTGCATTTTACAGAGCTCCGCTTTAGTTGGGCTTCGACACTGGGATGTGCAGGTGCTACAAATCCAGACACAGAGCTCAAACTGAGCACAAGTTAAAAAGATAACACATGCAAAAGCATGGAGGAATGCTGTGTGCGAAGAAATCCTCTGCACTTCAGTTGGCTTTAAATAGTAAAAAAGGCATAGACCAGTAGCAATAAAAAAACTCCCAACAAAAGTATTGTTCTAGGGGGAAATGATTCTTTTATTATAAATTGAGAATGAATGACCAATGAAAAACAGCCCAGATGGAGTACCAAGACATCTTATGAATCAATCAACATTTTAGCAGCATCTTCACAGTCCTCGGCACCCGGCACCACCCAAAGGCCCACCACTCTCCAGCCCAGGGCAACAAAGCCCGGCAGCCAGAAGGCACCACAGTATCAAGGGATTAAAAGCCCCAGTGCGCGCTTCCCCCCCCCGCCCCCCCCCCCGAGATGGATGGGACCTGCCTCAGTGGGGCCGGCACAAAGGAGCTTCCAAAGCTCTCCAAGGCAATTCAGATTCTGCTGTCCGACATGGGATACCTCTTTATGCGAATCCACAAAAGAACAAGCGGCAGTCCTAGGGCCAAAGACCTGTAGTCCTGCTCAGTAGTGTCTTCATTTCACATGCAGTCTGGCTAAAAGTGTCTCTTTAGAGGAGTCAGCCATGTGGCACGGGGACAGTCCACACCACAGTTCCTCTGTCCCAAGGACACCATTCCACTGACACACACACACACACGGTTACAAGGGTAGCGTGAAACGCTTAGGCTACAGCTCCCCATCCACCTGGTTCTGACACTTCCTGGCTGATATGTACTGCAAGAAATAGAAAGGGCCAGGCAAAAAGATTTCAAGTCTCAACACTGGCTAAGCGACAGATATTCTGGGAGGGGGACTGGACCGTCAGGTAACGAGTGGTGAATACGTGGAAGTGAATTTCGAGGTTCCACACATAATAAAGGTGGGGCTTTGCTGAAGTCCTATGTGGACCACACACAACACACAGAACAGACTTAACAGTGAAGCTCCAAGTTAATTACAGTAAGATGTGGGTGATTTTATCCAGCATTGCTGGTGACTGGTAGATGGAAAACAATTTTCAGTTTAAAAAACTATGAAAGGAGCAGGCACAAAGATACACACACACACACACACACAGGCAGCAATGTAATACTGACAAACTATTCCCCTTCTTCTTTGGTACTTTCAAAACTTTCTTATCCAAAATATATATGAGGGAAATGCACCAATAAAAAGTTACAGTTCTGAAAGTATTTACAAAAGCCATTTTCATACACTATTATACACAGCAACAAGACATGAACCAAGTTCTTTTATGAAAATGTTTCTGCACTGTTTTGTTCCAGTATCATTCAACAGTTTTACAAAAATTGGATCCATTCTGCACCTTGCTTCATCCTGTATCAAATTGGCACACGCGCACACACACACCTCAACCAGCAAGCTGCTGCTTTTAAGATTAAAAATTAGCCACTAAATGATACACTATATACACAGATATCTAAAGTTCTAGGTTATTATTTTCACCTCACAATTTAAGGTAGTGTTACCTACTATAAGCATATATATATATA